GCTGGCGCTGACCACCACCGGAGCCACTCCTCTGCGAAGAGCCACGACCTCCTCTTCCTCCGCCTCCGCCACCGCCTCCTCCACCTCCGCCTCCTCCACCTCCGCAACCTCCACCTCCGCCACCTCCACCACCTCCGCTCCCACTGCTACCGCCGCCGCCGTCTCCGCTGCCGCCGCCTACACCTCCACCCCCGCCACCACTCCCTCCACCACCCCCACCCCCTCCGCCGCCTCCACCGCCCCCGCTAGCTCCTCCAGCGCCCCTGCCCCCCTTGCCCTTGCCAGGGCAGCGTCTCCCACTAGGGGTAGACGCCGCACCGACCGACTCAAGCCCAACGAGGTCGGCCGCAGCAGCACAGGCAACAGAGGGCAAAAGAGGAGAGGGGGAACACCCCTCAAAGATGGGGGTGCGCAGGTCACCACGAGAGGCTCCTACAGCGACTATACTCTTCTCCGCTACTAAGAGGGCCTTCTTGAGGAGGTCAACAGTGAGAGTGGTGGCACAGACTGAGAGGAGGTGGTCCCTGACTACGCGAAGGGAGTCGGGGAGGCGGGTGACTATGTAGTAGAGAGTGATGTACATGGGGGGGGGGGTTCTTGGCGCAGAACTCAGCAGGAAGCGCAGCACGGTAGCGAGTGTCACTAGTGCGGAGGTGCGTAATGAGGTCAGCGACTGTGGGAAAGGCAGCAAGGTCAGGAAAGAGGTACGGTAGCATGAGGCGGCTCAGTGCAGCAGTGGCAGGGGAGGAGTAGCGTGCAACTACAGCGTCGTACAAGGTCTGAGCACTCTTGTACTGGCTAAAGTGCGCACGCTCAGAGGTAGGCAGGTGGCGACGCACAGCAAGACGTGCAGCAGCATCGCGCGTGGCCCATTGTGAGCGAACAGTGGCGTCAGCATCAGCAGTAGGGGCAAGAGAGGCGCGAGAGGTGAGGTCAAAGAGAGAGAGACCGTCTGCCCTATCGCACTGTAAGAAAAGCTGCAGGTCATCTATCCAGACGTCAAAGTCAATGGCCCGATCCTCAGCGTCAAAAGCAAGGATACTAGGGGTAGCCATGACAGCAGTAGACTAACAGCGCAAACAATAGGGTGAGGGCAGTGCTGGAAAGAGGCGCTGCTCTTACCCAACAGGGCGGCTCGGGCACCTCGGCTGTAGGGCGACTCGGCGGCTCGGCAGCTGGGCGGCTCGGCTGCTGGGCGGCTCGGCTGCTGGGCGGCTCGGAGGCTGGGCGGCTCAGCAACTTGGCGGCTCGGCTGCTGGGCGGCTCGGCGGTTGGGCGGCTCAGCGGCTGGGCGGCTCGGCTGCTGGGCGGCTCGGCTGCTGGGCGGCTCGGCTGTTGCGCGGCTCGGCTGCTGGGCGGCTCGGCTACTGAGCGGCTCCGCTACCGGGCGTCCCGACGGCTGGGCGGCTCGGCTGCTGGGCGGTTCGGCGGGGCCGCTGAGAGGAGGCGGGGCCGTAGGTAGGTGGCGAGGCCGCTGGTAGGTGGCGGGGCCGCAGGTAGGTGGCGGGGCCGCTGGTAGGTGGCGGGGCCGCAGGTAGGCGCCGGGGTCGCACAGGTAGGTGGTGGGGCCGCGGGTAGGTGGCGGGGCCGCAGAGAGGTGGCGGGGCCGCTGGTAAAAGGGGGGGGGGGCGCGAGGGCGGCGCAAGTGGCCGCAATGGCGGCGGGCGGTGGGCCGACAGGCGGCTCTACAGGCCGCCAGGGCAGCGCGTGGAGTCGACGGGCGGCGCAAGGGGCCGCTAGGGCGGCACGCGGGGTCGACGGGTGGCGCAAGGGGCCGCTAGGGCGGCGCGCGGGGTTGACGGGTGGCGCAAGGGGCCGCTAGGGTGGCGCGCGGGGTCGACGGGCGGCGCAAGGGGCCGGTAGGGCAGCGCGCGGGGTCGATGGGCGGCACAAGGGGCCGCTAGAGCGGCGCGCGGGGTCGACGGGCGGCGCAAGGGGCCGCTAGGGCGATGCGCGGGGCCGTAAAGGGCGGTGCGCGGGGCCGCTAAGGACGGCTCAAGGGGCCGTGAGAGAGGCCGCTAAGGGCGGCGCGACGGTAGGGAGGGCACTCGGGGTGCGCGCGACTCGGTCTGGGGTGAAGCGCGCTCCGGGCAGGGAAAAAAAAAGGGGTATCGTGGTGGGCCCTAGGTAGCGTTCCCACTCGGGAACCTGCTCGATACCATGAGAAGAAACGAGAATGAATGAACTATGAATGAATTGGGTACAAGTACTAACCCTTATTGGGCTGTACCCCTTACGGGCTACCCCACTATAGCCAACACAATATGCATAAACTATAACGTTTTGACAGTATCTCCGATGAGCTATTAACGCCATTGATGCCACGCTCATCGTGTAGTGATTCATAAGAACAGGCAACTACCCATCATTGACACGCATGGTAACACCTCTGATAATGTCTTAGTTGTTTCCTTTGATGTCATTTTTTTGTACTCGCTAGTGGGCTAGGAAGGCTCGTCTCATGACTTGATGGCCCTACAGGACGCTTTCACACGAAGGATGTCACTATCTTACTCACTTTGGATACCGTTACGATGCATTTACCTTGACCCCTTACTGCTATCTTATTTATCATCTCAAGATGTGATTATCCTAGCCCCTTACCACTCTGTTATTTATCATATCGAGAGTTGGCAGCAAACGAATTACGTGCCGCAATGGAAACTGGAATTGTTTGATTGGGTGCATTCCTCACTACATGCGCACTTCGATTTATTTTTTTTAAATACCATGTGACTCTTTCGCTTCAACATGTAATGTCCGATTCTACGGTCGTGCTTTATTCTGCACTGTTTTATCACGGTCAGCGGAGGGGTTGCTGCGAGGATCGAAGAACTGGTTCAAATATTATACTATGATCATCTGGATACAACACGAGTCTATATATAGACTCGACATAAGGCCAGTATCCCGGGTGTTACTATAAGGTTCCGCGGGTTGCGAAGCGTCCCCTTCCCACCACAATCGACGCATAGGCGGTAGGTTGTCGTGCAAACCATGTATTGCACTCAACATACGTAAGGATTGGGTGGGAGAGAAAGGAGTGCTCACCTGCAATCTACCGAAGGACATCAACCGCTTGCTTGAGATGCTGCAGTCGCTCGAGCAAATCCGCTACAACATAATGCAGAGGGAGGCACTCGTGGAATCTACCGAAGAAAAACCGGCAGTGCTGAACGCCGCAAACACAACAAGGGAATTCGGTCCTTGCTCCCACTGCGAACGTAAGGCAGCAGATTGTTACTTCAAGGGAAAACTGAAAAGCAGTGAAGCGGCAAACATGGAAGGAGTTAGAGTAGAGGGTCATTTCTTGGAGATTGCAATCATTGTCCAAAGTACGGACATAAGGCTTACGAGTGCTTCAGTAACCCGGCCAGCAAGAACTTCAGGGGAGGACAGCAGCAAACAATAGCACCAGCAAGCTAGATGCAAAAGATGCCGGGCGCGTCATGTGTCCTGCGTTTTGATGCAGTGTCCGGATGCAGAGACGTTGGATGCGCGTCCAGACGCAGGACGCACGGCGTTTTTTTTTTTTTCCGGGCTAACTTTTTTCCGATCGCAATTGATATTTGCGATTTGGACGCGAATGTAAATTCCGCGAAACGTCGACCCCCCTAAACCCAATTTGACATAGAAAAACAACCACCGCACCCCCTTTCTAACCCCTCCATGCAAAATTGGAAAGCCCAACCCTCACAACCACTCTATATCTAACCAATGTGGCCCAAAACCAAACCCATTTGTGCTCCCTCAATCTGCCAACCCAATTCTCCTAAAAAAAACCTAGTGGTTTTAGCTACCTTGTGCACATCCGTTATGGCTTCCTCCACCCAGCCTTCGTCTTCCACCGCATCTAAAGATGATAATGTCATCGACGACTCTCCCCCCTCCCCCCGAGAAGAAACCGCAAAACGCCTCTCACAATATTTATAATCAATATTGGACCTTCGATGATCCGACTCAAAAGATGAAGCAAGCTGAGTGCCTTTGGTGCGAGAAAGTTTCGCCATTATTAGTAGCCGGTGTACCCTGCATTTTGCCGTTTGGAACGACCCGAACATTCGGCGCGAGGCCGGGATCGTTTGCACGGCATGAAGGTTCCGAAACGCTTTTCTGATGGCATTCGCGAAATGGAGTCCAAACTTACGGCGCGCAACGATAAGAAGAGGGTGACGGGTGCGGCACTCACTGCAGTGAGCGGCCGAGGCGGAGCGGTACTGAAAGCTAAGAAAGTGCGGATGAAGGACTCATATGGCGAGAGGGGGATCTCGGCGAAGCGTGCGGCCGATGAAGCAGTTTAACTATACTTCGTGGGGATGCGCACAGCGGATCTTCAGTGCGAGCACCCCCTCTTCCTCAACTTGCTGCGAGCCATCGCTGCCACCGGTAATAGCTACATCCCCCCCAAAGCGTTGGAGGCGTCGGGCTACTGGAGTGCAAGCAGTGGATTGAGAAGGGATTGGCGCGGGTTACGAAGACTTGGAAAGAGACGGACGTGACAATCGCTAGCGACATAATGACGAACAAGAGCGGATGAACATCATCTGCATCAACGGCAGTGGTGCGGTTTTCCAAGAGGCGGTGGACTGTAGGGCGGAGACAATGAGTGGGGCATTTATCGTTGGCATCCTGCAGCCGATCATCGAGAAGATTGGGCTGGAGCACGTCGTCGCGCTTTGTACGGATGGCGGAAGCAAATACGTGTCCGCCGGTTGCTGCAGAAGAAGTACCCGCACATCGAGATCGTCCGCTGCGCCATTCATATGCTCGACTTGTTGATGGATGACATTGGCAAGATGGATTGGACGCAGGAGGTCGTCCCAGTTGCGAACGACATAATCTTATTCCTGTGCATCCACCGGTGCACGTGTGCCTTCTTGCAGAGTCCCAAGCTCCACGGCGAGAAGGTGATGCAAGCCTTGCGACCGGCGGGTACGCACTTTGGGACGCAGCACATCGCAGTGTCTCGTCTGCTCTATATTCACTCGCAGCGGACGCGGATGGTGGTGCACAAGGATTGGGAGGAGCAAGGAGGAAGCAAGCTGATCAAAAAGGCTTTTGAGGCATCGGCAATGGATGCAGAGTGGTGGAAGAAGGCGGAGACCTTTGTGAAGGTGATGGAGCTGCCGTACAAGGGGATGAGAAGGACGGATTGGGAGTGGAAGGGGAAGATGGGGGCGTTGTACGATATCATGCTACAGCTGACGGAGGAGTTGTCAGTGCTGTTGGAGAGTGCAGATTGTCGGCTTAAGAAGGCGGATAAGGAGGGGGTCCAGAAGCACTTCAGATGGCGTTGGGACGAGAGTTTGACCTGCCCCCTTCACGTGAAGGCTATCTCGGAGATCTACCACAAGGATATTGAGTGCACCAGGGTGATGAAGGCTTGGCTATCAAGGCTTGGCTATCATGCTCGAGGGTCTTCGTCAACAATTGTTGGAAGAACGCCGACGACACGAAGGGAACGATGAAGGCGCTGAAGGAGGGGATGCTGGCGAATATTGAGGGCAAGGAGTGCTTCGGGCCAGAGGAGGTGATAGAGGGGTGTGCGGAGCTTAAGGCCGGGAGGGGGGACATGGTGACGTGGTGGAAGGTAAATGGCTGGGAGTACGCCGACCTGGCTAGCCTTGCGTGCCGTGCACTTTCACAGCCCGTTTCCGCTCCCCCGTGCGAGCAGGGATGGGTTGTGTGGGATGGCGTGCACACGGCACGCAGGAACAGGCTGGGGTCGGAGAAGGTGCGCGACCTTGTGTTCGTTGCACACAACTTTACCGTTATGCACAACCACCACAAGGGTGCGGCTGGTGCAGGGCCAAGTGGGGAAGTAAGGAAGGCGGGGGTAGTGGAGGGGAACATTCCACCCCTCCCCTTCCCGAGGGGTACAAGGTGTAGGAGGATGGAGAGGTGGAGGTGGATGAGGACGACTTGTGCGTCGATGAGTACAAGCACCAGGAAGATTATAAGGAGGAAGAGGAGGAGGAGGAGGAGGAGGAGGAGGAGGAGGAGGAGGAGGAGGAGGAGGAGGAGGAGGAGGAGGAGGAGGAGGAGGAGGAGGAGGAGGAGGAGGAGGAGGAGGAGGAGGAGGCGGAGGAGGAGGCAGAGGAGGAGGAGGAGGAGGAGGAGGAGGAGGTGGTGGAGGAGGAGGAGGAGGAGACCGAGGAGGATGAGGATGAGTGATTGGTTGCCTTGATGCAGTGCAGTATTTGTATACATGTTGCTGCATGATTGGATTAAATGTGACCTTCGGAAATTTGTGACTCACCTTGATCTTGATTATTGGGGGATTTTGTTGGGGAATATTTAGTAGTGATAGTGTGCTACGGTCCCTCCCCCCACAACCCCCTTCCCATGCTCTATAACGTTTTTTTTTTTCGACTGCCTGGGGGTTTTTTTTTGCCCTGCCCAGGCCTGCGTCTCCCAGGCCCACATCTTGCGTCCTGCGTCTAAAACGCTTCGTTTGGACGCACTTGTCTTAGACGTAGGACACGACTTTTGCAACTAAGCCACCAAGGACAAATGTAGCAGAAGCAGAGAAAAACGAAGGTGATGCGAACTTGGGAGGCGCTCACAAGGCGAACGTCGCACGAGCTTCTGTGCTTGTTGGCGAAAGGGCTGAAAGAAACAAGTTGGTTTGAGGACAGCAGTGGCACTCAGCATATGACACACCGTGCGGGCTGGTTGCAAAACTTTCGACCTTCAAACATACCTTACATTTTGGTGGGCGCTACCTGTTAAGGGAGAAGGGGACTTAGTGTTGCAAAGTCCGTATGGGGAGCTAAAACTAGACAGCGTGCTACTCGTATTCAATCACAATTGGACAATTGTCAAGACATTTAGGGACAACGGCAAGCTGTGGATGTTCAACTCCGATTAAAAGTTCGTTGCAGAAGGAACACGCAAAGAAAGGCTGTATGAGATTTTTTTTGAAAGAATGCAAGAAAGCAGCAAAAACAATCTTTCAAGATGAACCGGAGGAAGGGAAGGTGGCATGGGAGGAACTACACGCCATGCTAAACAAGATATCGGTGGCGGTGCTACAGCAACAAACTCCACCGCTAGCTGCAGCAGTGGAAGGAATCAACATGAAAACACTCCAAAGGAGGATTGGTTGGGGCGGGTTCAACTCATCACACCTCATGTCAATTTTTTGCTACAGTATCCTGGTTTTGTAGGGTAACCGCGTCAAATTTTGGTAAGAGCCATGATGACGCGTTTGATTCATGTGTATGCAAAATCAATCATGTGCCATATCACATTTCGTACTCGTTTTGTTATTAAAAAAAAGTTCAAACCGCCAAGCATCTAAGAATCGAACTCTACCTCCCACACATCCCGGTAACAGGGTGCACTGGAGTAAACGAGCTAGTCCGTTGTCGTCAACCTAATTTCTCTCGCTCCACATGTCGATGTTAAGCAGGTTCAATTTCCGTGCCACCAAACCCGCTCGACGGCGTGCTGCAAATACTGCCGCACGTCATGGCTATAGTGGCACTAGAAAGCGCACTAGCTCGATGCGCATAGAAATAACTACATATGATGGGGGCTGATATGGCTACTGCGCAGCGCCGTATCGTCAATCCGGGACACTGCCCTCTAAGCGGCGTGTCGTAAAACCAGCATGCCCGCACATCACGGCATTGTAGGGGAACGGCCGCCACATCCTGTGCCCACGGCTCACGCTGTACCAAATTCCGTCGCGTTCGCCACCAAGACCAGGTGCTTCGTGCAGCGTCGCCTATGTAGCCACTAAACCTATGAAGCCTCACTGTAAGGTTGGCTTAGCAGGATTCAGAAGCACACTGGAAAACTACTAAAAAAAAAGGAACAACTTTACAGCAGGCACACAACTACTACTCGTTTACATCTACTAGAATTGCCACACCCACAAGCTTACCCGCACTATGTCTTACCCGCAGCCTGACCCGAGAACCAGCGAGCACCGCGCAACACAAGACGACTTATTTGAAACCCAAGAGTCTTTTGCTGCTCCTGCACTGGGTTTGTTTACCCCTAGGTCTAGGGGGAGTACTACTGTCGCACCGGACGCAGGAGCCCCTACCACCATTGTGCTTGACGACGATGAGCCTCTGAATCTTGCTGAAGACTACTACGATGAGCACCTCGACGCACTACCGGACGTGGACAACTCTGGTTTCCCTGGAACGCCTCTTCCGTCCATTCGAGAGAACACCCCCATTGCGGCGCCAACAATCCCACTGGACTGCATCCGAGACGTTACAACTAGTGCAAGCTCGGGTCGACCTTGATGAATAGTGGGACTTGATGCGAGGCGTGCAAGGTGCTAACTACTGGACCTCCCTCTTCAACCTGCTGCAAGAACGCCATCCTCAGTTCCGCTTCACGTTGGCAGCCTCCAAAATGAAACTTCTCCGCATTGAGACCCAGTACCATCAGCTACGCGACCGGCTGAACCGTTCTGGAGCTGCATCCATGCGGTTCAAGCCTATCTGGTACTCGTTGATGGATAGCATTCGTGGGAATCGTCTGGCAATCATCCCACATCACCGTGTGACAAGCGCCGCGGCTGAAAACCCGACACAAGCTGCACCTGGAGGTACACTAATTGAGTCCAACATAAGCAAACAAAAAGCAACCTATCACACCGATCTCATCTCTACTTGCACCCTAAACTATGCGCTGTGAACAGGACTACTTCTGCCCCCTCAGTGGGTCCTGTACGCTCCCGCCGCGGATCTGCCCGTGCGGACGGCCCCAACCTGGTCGCCGCAAGCGTGAACGCAACCATCCGTGCCGCCGCAAATGGTGGAAGCTCATTTGCTCAGAAGGTGCCCCCGCCAACCATCTATACATCGCCAAACCCCATACCGGACCTTCCAAGGGGTGAGGCGGTGCGCCCATCAGCTTCCTCACTCCCTCACGGCGGAGCCCCGGCCCATCAACCCTGGTGCCACGGCTGGGGCGAGGGCACCTCCTGCGAATGAGATGCCAAGACATGGCAATGGTTGCATGAATAGAGGGGTGAGTATTTTGGGGCATGAATCGGTCATTGTGAATGCAATAGCCGAGAGCATTGCTTCAGCTGTAAGTGCTGCAGTTGATCGCGCTGTGACAGGTTTGAATCACTCACCCGATCCTTGGTCGGCTCACGGTCGGATGTGCCTGCACCCACCCCGCGTGCAACTCCTGCACAAGACGATCTCGACGGAGAGACGGTGTAAAACCAGGCGTGTCCTCAGGAATTAGATGCACACCGGATGCTGGCCCGGTCAGCCACCAACGGTGCTCGTCACGTGGCGCCCCGGCTCGTGGTCGTGAATCAAGGCAGTTTTCGACGTTGTGAAGGACGCAACATGCGCCGACCGTGCCGGGCACCTTGTTCGGCTGCGAATGCATCATGCCGTCCATTATGCGGAACTTTCCTTTTAGGCTTCCATTAGTCTGCTCGACCACCATCCGCTCCCTGCTTTGCTGTTTGTTGTAGATTGCTTCAGGGTTGCTTAAGTTCCTGTTGGTAGGCACTTTGTACGGGAGTAGCATGTAGGGCCGTAGTGGGTAGGCAGCATCCGCCACCAAGCACCTTCCATTTAGTTCACCATTTTCAATTCTAGCCTTTGCACGACTGTTGTTCGACACCCTCGCATCTTTGACACTACCAGGCCAGCCCACATAAAAATCCCAAATGTAGCCCCATGCATACCCAACAAGCAGCAGAATTACTGAGAAACTGCCCTGACGGTTCTAATAGTCGGATTTGTACTCTCCAAACCCTCTAACAAGTACGAATGTATCGTCAAGGGCGCCCACTGTCAACGGGAGTTGTGTGTTGGCCCCGTCCTCGCTTGGGCGGAGCCAACTTCGTGATGGGATGTGAGGGGAGCAGCCGACCTGCAGCAGTGGGCGAGCTGGTTGACGAGGAGGTCGACCTGCACAGGGACCACTGCACGGGCGCCGACTTCAGGGTAGGGTGGCGCCGACTTCAGGGAGGTCGACTCACAACTGCGCTGGTCGACGCGGAGCTGGTCGACCAGAAGTGCTGGTCCACGTGGAACTGGTCGACCAGAAGTGACGTCGACCTGGAGTTGGTCGACCAGGGGCGTGGTCGGCCTGGTGAGGTTGACTTGGAGGTGGTAGTCGACTTGGGAGGTCGACGGGCACGTACGGGAGCAGCTGGTCGACGTGGTTGCCCGATCAACCAGGTTACCTGGGTGACGAGGTTCTGCAGAGGAGTGCGACGGTCGCCCAGGTGAATTTGGTGAGTCCGACTTCGGTAGTGGTATCCCAAGGTCAACGTGGCTGATCAGATGCAATCGTCAGCGCCAGGTTGACTTGATATGCGCGTTTTGCACGCCGTCAACCTGCCATGTTGGCACACCGTCGACTTTGCACTGCTGGAGCGTGGTCGACCAAGTCGTGCTGGATCACGGTCGACCGTGCCGCGCTGGCAGTCGACCTGCTTGCATGCTAGCTCTTATGTAGTCTTGCCATGTCAACTTCATTGTACCATTGTTGTCAACTTTCTCTAGTGAAACTCTTGCCAATTTGCCCCGTGAACTAGCGAGCAACGTGTCCACTAGGAAAACGACTAAGGACCAACGAATGCAGAGATCACACGAGCACCTGTGCCTAGCCTGTAGTCTAGCTCCCGTTGTAGTAGTTATCTCCGCATGGTGCGGTGAGCGTGGACGGCATACGACTTACCTTTCAGCCAGGTCGACGTAGTGATCACTTACTGTACCTAAGTTGCTCGTAGGCCGGCAGCCGTATAGTCCCTAGCGTGCGCGTAGGTAAAACAGAGGTGATGGACACCCTGGAGGGACGGCTGGAGGATGTGAGGAGACGCCATGAGGCCTAGGAGTACGGGGCGATACCCTGGGCAGTCGTCAAGGCTGGACTCCACACCATGTGGGCATCAGAGCATCCCCCTTCCCGACCAGCTTCTCCTCGACCGGTGACCAACGAAGGCGGCGTCGACGTGGGCGTCCACGTCGGAGGTGGCGAAGTCGGCAGCAGTGCGGGAGGCACGTCGAGGCAGCGTGGTGTGATTCACGCCAATGAAGTCGGCGTCGTTCGGGCGCGAGGACTGCAGTCGTCGGCGACTGCAGGCTGTTCGCAGGGCGACATTGGAGGTCGACGAAGTGGACTGTCGCCGATGTCGGCGACCCAGGAGACGGCGGGCGGGATAGCACCGAGGTATG